ACTACATCGCTTTCTTCTGTGCGATGCTCTTCCTCCTTCTTGGACTCATTCTTCTGGTGGATCTGGCGCACTCGTGGGCTGAACTCTGCCTGCAGAAAATTGAGGAAAATGATTCTCGGCTGTGGCGCGGACTGCTCATAGGCTCAACGCTCGGCATGTATATTGCGTCGATTGCGATGACCGTCCTGATGTATGTTTTCTTTGCTAAGGAACATTGCTCTATGAATCAAGCAGCTATTACGGTGCGTATCCCCCCAGCTGACCAGAAGATTCCCATGAACTCTCGACTCATATGACTTTACAGATCAACCTGATCGTCTTTCTCATCATCTCGGTTGTATCCGTTCAACCTGTGGTGCAGGAACATAATCCTCGGGCTGGATTGGCGCAAGCGGCAATGGTGACGGTTTATTGCACGTACTTGACCATGTCTGCCGTTTCGATGGAGCCTGATGACCGCCAATGCAACCCTCTGGTCCGCGCTCGAGGCACGCGGACGGCCACCGTCATTGTGGGTGCTATCGTCACTATGGCGACTATCGCATATACCACGACCCGTGCCGCCACCCAAAGTCTTATGTTAGGGTCTCAAGCTGGTCATGGCCAGTACGCGCAGTTGAGAACAGATGACAACGAACATGGCCTCGTCACTCAGCAGCCCAGTCGCCGTGAGATGCGTGCCGAGGCTCTTCGTGCTGCTGTGGAGAGCGGTAGTTTGCCTGCTAGTGCATTGGACGAGAGTGACGATGAGTCCGATGAGTATAGTGCCCAGGACGACGAGAAGGGCTCGACGCAATACAACTACTCTCTTTTCCACATTATATTTTTCCTGGCTACGACATGGGTAGCTACCCTACTGACCCAGCGTCTTGATCCTGAGACCACAGAGGACTTCGCACCTGTGGGCAGAACATATTGGGCTAGCTGGGTGAAGATCATCAGCGCTTGGGTGTGCTATGCTATCTACTTGTGGACCTTGCTTGCCCCCGTCCTTCTACCCGATCGTTTCGATATCTATTAGGTTGAAGGATGTTGCTTCATTCGTCAGTTGAATGATTTCGTTTGGGAGTTTGGCGTCTGAGCAGAGGTGCAGCCTCATTTCACTCGTTTCGCATTATGTGTAGAGGAATTGATTCATCGTTGATCGTTTTCGAGCGTTAGATGCAAGAAGAGAATAGTCAGATATCATTTTGTCGGATCACCACTGTAGTCACTGTAGTCGCACGTCGATACTTAGCCATGAAGGGGAAACATTGATGTCTTATCAGCCACTGATAACGAACTCCGCGTACAGTTTGCGCGTAAAGTGGCCGAGGGACGCGCATATTCCCGCGTCAATCTAACTGGCGCCACCATGGGATGAATATGGCGACCATCAAGGCCATCGAGGCCCGTTCGGTATGCTTATATTTCCTCATTTCTGACGGAAGAGCGTACGGTTGGCTAACCTCCTCATTTGGCGTCCAGGTTCACCAGATTCAATCCGGTCAGGTGATCGTCGATTTGTGCTCCGTTGTGAAGGAATTGGTTGAAAACAGTCTCGATGCTGGTGCAACATCAATCGGTAGGATCATGGAAAACCATCAAAGATATGCCATGCGATAGCATATTGACACACTCTTGTTTTCCTGGGCATAGAGGTCCGTTTCAAGAACAACGGGCTGGACTCGATCGAGGTACAAGATAATGGAAGTGGAATATCGCCGGAGAACTACGAGAACGTCGGTGAGCTTTCCCTTGGTAGAGACCGGTCCGACTGAGAAGTATTGCTCACCTTTGGCAGCTCTGAAACATTACACGTCGAAACTCTCGTCCTACGAGGATCTCTCCCGCTTACACACCTTCGGCTTCCGAGGCGAAGCTCTCTCGTCCTTATGCGCTCTAGCCGATTTCCGCATCGTTACGGCCCAAGCTAATCAAGCTCCCAAGGCGACTAAGCTGGAATTCGAAACATCGGGGAAGCTGTCGAAGACCCAAATAGTCGCTGGCCAAAAGGGCACAACAGCCTCGGTGGAGGGTTTGTTCAAGAAACTCCCCGTCCGCCGCAGGGAGTTGGAAAAGAACATCAAAAGAGAGTATGGGAAAGTCTTGAATCTGCTCCATGCCTATGCTTGTATTAGCACGAGGGTACGCTTCAGCGTCCGGAATACAGTGGGAAAGAATCGGAATGTGGTGGTCTTCTCGACGAATGGCAACCAGACCACAAAGGAGAATATTGCGAATGTCTACGGGGCAAAAACTCTGCTGGCCCTCATCCCGCTCGACTTGACCTTGGAATTTGAGCCATCCCCTGCGGGAAGGCGGACAGCTGAAGGGGGCCTCCATACAATCCAGGTCAAAGGGCATATCTCTCGTCCGGTATTTGGTGAGGGAAGGCAGACGCCCGATCGTCAGATGTTCTTTGTGAATTCCCGCCCCTGTGGTCTGCCGCAAATTGCAAAGGCGTTCAATGAGGTCTACAAGTCTTTCAATGTGTCGCAGTCCCCCTTCGTCTTTGCAGACTTCAATATGGACACGAATGCCTATGATGTGAATGTATCCCCTGATAAACGCACAATTCTGCTGCACGATGCGGGAGCGTTGATCGATTCCCTCAAGCAGACTCTTACGGAAATGTTCGAAGCGACTGATCAGACTGTCCCTCAATCTCAAATAGCTGGCCATAAGCAACCTGCTCCGAAACAGCAGTTGGGGATATTGCAGGCAGCTACCCCTCGCCGGGTTTCAGGCGAGAAGGAGCCTACGGCAGGAGGAGAGCCAGACCATCCCGCTGATGAAGAGGACCCGGAATCGAGTCAGCTGGGCTCCCAGGCGAAGCTGAAAAGCTTTCTGAGTAACCTTGGTTCACAACAGGAACGAGTGACTCCATCCTCGTCTCCCGTCCGCAGAGACGAGTCAGAGCAACCGGTTTCCACTACAGCGCCGAAAACGCCGGCCGGCCGGGCTGAATCCTTGACCAGGACGGCTGATAGTGAATTATTCGTTTCAGAGGGTGGCACACCATCCTGTGAAACTCCCCAACTTCCTAAGGTGTCAGATAAGGAACAAGAGTCACCGAAGAACGACATAGAGCAGTCTACGCCACAGGACGATTCTGAGCTTTATCAACAACACACCTCTTCAACTCAAACAAATCTACACGAGGAGACACCCAATGTCATACAGAACGCCTTCGATCGAATGCGACCCAGGCGTATACCGGCTGAAGTTGCCACTATAACCATTGGCAACAAGACAATTACGTCCATGGTAGGAAGCGGGATACCTAGGAAAAGGACCGGAGGATCAATTGACTCCACCGGTGGAGGCTTGGACCGCAAGAGGAGGATACACACTCCCTCTCGTTCTAATATCTTTGGCAAACATATGAGGGCCTTTGCAGCTCCAGGATCGCAGATAGAGCAAGCAAGCAGCAGTGAAGCTGAGGAGGAGGTAAGAGTGGAAGATGAAGAGATCATGGACAGCGGTTCCGCAGACGGCTCCCGATCATATTGTCCGTCCGATGAGGAGGATGATCGCTCCGCAGAGGTGCCGGATGATGAGCTCGACGGGCCCGAAGCTAGAGCTGCGGAGATGATGAATGATGAGGAGAAGAAGAAACACGAAGAAGCCGAGGTGCAGCGGCTCATTCGACAAGCTGAGGAAAAGGCAGTGTTGCCTCAGGAGAATAGTATCCAACGTGCGAACAAGCTGAACAAAGGGGCTGGTCATCGCGACTCTACAACCCATCTGGTGAGCACCGTTGACGGGTCGCTTTCTAGGATTGAGAGCCAGATGAAAAAGGTGCAGCACAGCCTCCGTGCCCACAGAATTGATGCGGACCATTCTCAGGAGGATACGGCGACGGCCGCGGCAGTGACAGCAGAAGAACGGTTGTCACTGACAGTTAGCAAGGATGATTTCGCCAGAATGCGCATTATTGGGCAATTCAACCTCGGATTTATCCTAGCGACCCGGTCGTCGGATGATGGCTCCGCTGGGTCCAGGGATGAGCTTTTCATTATTGACCAGCATGCTTCGGACGAAAAGTTCAATTTTGAGCGGCTTCAAGCTGAGACAGTGGTACAGAATCAGCGCCTTGTCCAGCCCAAACGACTCGATCTCACTGCGGTTGAAGAGGAGGTTGTAATCGAGAATCGAACCGCGTTAGAGAAGAACGGATTTGTCGTCGAAGTCGACGACAGCGGCAACGAGCCAATCGGCCAGCGCTGCAAGCTGATCTCCTTGCCGCTGAGCAAGGAGGTTGTATTCGGTGTACGGGATCTGGAAGAGCTCATTGTTCTGCTATCCGAGATGCCAGCAACCAGCAGCAGCGAGTCTGCCCTGCAGACCCATATCCCTCGCCCGAGCAAAGTCCGCAAAATGTTCGCAATGCGAGCATGCCGATCCAGCATTATGATCGGCAAATCTTTGACCCAGACACAGATGGTCCGGGTTGTGAGGAACATGGGGACAATCGACAAACCATGGAATTGTCCCCATGGACGACCAACCATGCGTCATTTGATGACTCTGGGTCAATGGAACGAATGGGATGAATATGGGTATGGCAATGAGGAAGACGAAGAAAGCAGCGGGGTCGAGGTCGACCGCTTGGATGTATGGAGGAACTATTACCACGAGACGGGGGAAATGAGCGCGGAGGAAGAGGGAAACACAGCTGAGGCCGATGAAGAGGCTGAGTTATAGAACGTGTGCACAGGTTTTTGGTGTTTCTTTTTGGGATAGCTCATTTTGGTGAAGTATATATAATGTGCCATGAAAGGCCCCGAGGACGGACTATCGTCCTAGAAATTTTGAAGCAAATATCTCCTCCTCTGCAGAATAACCCACAATCTACCAGGCTGACTTTCATTTACGAAATCTATTCCGAAAGTCAATGATCCTTCTTGCCCATCATAGATGTCATCGGATATTTGGCATCCTAAACAGGAAGAACATGCAAAGCCGGCACGTCGTCCACGTATTTGATATTCAACCAAGAAGCAAGAATTCAAGAATCACCACCACCTCAACCACCCTCCCTTCGCCTCCTCCTCTCCCTTCTTCCCCTTCCCCTTCCCATTCATCGTCATCTGCCCCTCTCCCTCCTCCCCCACCCCTTCCTCCCTCGCCTCCACCTCCCTCAACATCTCCTCCACAACCAACAAATCCCTCTCAATCAACTCCGCCCAATTCTGCACGTCCCCAATCTCCTTCAGCCCCTCGCGCGCCGTATCCGCCACCTTCTCCCACTGCTCATTCTGCCGTCCCAGCTCGGCCGTCGTCCGCCGCAGCTCCGCCTCCTGCTTGTCTAGCGCGGCGGCGTTCTCGTGCAGCGAGCGCGCGCGGTCGCGGAGCTCAGCATCGTAGTTTGCGCCGGCGGAGCGGAGGGAGGCAGTGAAGGCTGCTTTGGCTTCAAGGGTGCGTTGGGAGGGGGTTGGTGAGGAGGTGGGTGATGATTGTTGTGGTGGTTGGGTGGACATTGTTGGTTGCTGGTGAGTAGGGGGATGATAAGGATGATGATGATGATGAACTAGATCTAAAGTGTCTGAGTGGATAGCGTTGGTGAATGCTCTATATATATATATATATATATATGTGCGTGTGTGTACTTGATGATATGGCAGGATAAAACAGAGTATAGACAGAGATGCGTTGATTACCCCACCTCATGTGCCACACTAGAAGTTGACTGCAGTCGACAAAATTGAGATGATAAGATGATTGGATGCATGTTCTCCAAATCCGTGTATTGGCATGGCTGACTATGTAGAACTCTCTATCCACGGGCACAGGGTATGCCTTCTGTTCGATACATACATAAATCCACAGACATAAATGCAAAAACTATAGGCATAACTTGGTATTAACAGTCCATCACCAAATATGTAATGAGCGCTGGCTATATGCTGCTGCTTGAAAAAAATTCCCCAAAACGCCATGTATGCCATACCGAAAAGTTATTTGCGACATAGCTTCACTTGCCGTGGTACAGTGCATATTAAATAGAGGAGTATTTTTGTTGAGAATGTACGTAAGATGAAAAGATAATCGAGACAACGACCTCACATGTTCGCCAGCTCGTGGTCAATCTGGCGGTCGAGGAACGCCTTCTTGTCACCAGTCAAGGTCGTCTGGAGCCGTTGTTCCACCAAAGCACGAACTAAAGAGCTATTAGGGAATAATACCAATTAATTTATGGGGAAAGGAACTGACCTTGCTTCTTAGTCACCGTGTCCAGGTCCACCTCTGCCAGACAGCTGCGGATCGCTTCTGTGATGGCGCCCTCATCCGGTCCGGTACCACCAGTCCGGAAGTCAAATGCACTAACGGGTCTCGAGTTCAGGCCACCGCCGAGGGGACTGCGTGAATTCTGGCGCGCTACCCCCAGCAGATTGTCCGTACTCTGCATAAGTCCTACGCTGTGCCGACTCATGCCCATAGGGCTATCCTGGTAGTGGCTAAGATTGCCCACTGACATATTCCGCTGGTGTGGATTGTCGGTATATCTGGTAAAGCTGGAGAGATGCGAGTTGCGGTTGCCCGGAATGTTCCCGCCAAATGGAGCTGGCGATTGCGGTGGCATGTACGGACTCGAGTGTCGGCCTTGGGGAAATCCGGTGAGGATGGTAGAGGCCGGCTTCACCGAGGAATAGGTGGAACGAAGATCATCCATCTCCATGACTGCCTCGTCTCCGTAGCGGCTGTACATCTTCTCCTGGCTGACGCCATAGTCGCCACGGCGGCCTGGGAGGTTGTTCGCCAGTGCGTAGTCATCCCAGCGTTGGAGAGGAATACTCCGAGGATCGAATACTTCATCCTCCACTGCTACAACTCGCTTAGTGCCCTTCTCTCCAAGGACAATACGGGTACTGCCCCAGCTGAAATCGTCCTGTTTCCAGAATGCATACAATGGCAGGATAAAGTTGTAGATTGGGAACGCCATGATGTAGATAATCATCCACCCGATATGCTGCCACTGCCGTTTGACGATAAAGATGATGGCCTGGAGACCGTACACACCTGCCAGGATAGCGATGGAGATATATGGAAACGGGCCGGAGTTACTGGCGACAAGGTAGATCAGGTATCCTATGTAGACGCAGGTCGCCGGAAGGATGATGGTTCCGATCAGGTCAATCAGTACCACAAATCGCATGCTGAAACAGCAGAAGCCACATAGGTCCTTCAGAGCCGCAAGCTCAACCAAATTGTGAATCGTTGAGTTAATCCACCGACGTCGCTGAGAGAGAAGGACAGACCAAGTCTCCGGGGCGGCGGTACTGGCATAGGCATCTGGAATGAACTTGTAGGACATAGTCGGGAAGTGCTTCGTCATCAGAGTTGTGAGGTAACGATCTTCACCCAGAGACAACAGATTTTTTTTGTGCAGGGTATCTATATCGTTGTCCGCATATTCTCGAATGACGTTGTCTGAAACAATCAGAGGTCGACCCTTGTCTGCGGTCCGTAGACGATACATGCAGAAACTAACGGGAGCGTCAGTAAATTCAGATGAGTACCAAGTCACGGATCGGGCACACTTACCACCCGGGAAGACATGTCACGCTTCCAAACAAAGACTCGAAAGCCTTGGCCAGATGATGCGAAATGAAGTACTCGTAGACTTGAATCATTGTCCACCAGCTTCGTTCCTCATTCTGAAGACTAGTCTCGCCGCAGATACCGGCAATCCGTGCATCATTCGCACAGGCAGCGACGAGTCGATTGAGTGAGTCTTCTCGAACACTCGTATCCGCGTCCACCATCAGACAGTACTCATAGAGTTCAGGGTCGACTCCAATGATGTTGTTGATCTGGTGGAACATCTCCAGCTCGAGCGGTGACATCGGGGAACGATGATGTACACGGTTCAGGAAGTTGAGCAGAAGGATTTGCGAGTCACGCTTACCCCTGTTACCAGGCTTCGGCCGGTTTTGTTCGGACTCCTTACCGACTTTGACGACCACAATATATGGAACCACATTGCCCTCGTATTCGTAAAGACCAGAGTAAACCTTGCCATAGTTGAGCTGATCACTTCCTTGCCCGAGAGACTTGAACGGCAATGCAGGGGGGTCGATCTTAGGGTCAACGCCTAGGATGTCCAGGACGATCTTAGGAGTTGGTCGATCATTACCGCCACCGACAATCATGCCATCGCATACGACGAAGATGAGTTTCCTCTTGTTGTCATATTGTAGGGCTGTCAAGGAGTCGAGACCTTTGCGAAGCGCATCTTCACCTTCTGTATACGCTGGCACAAGACAGATGACAAACTTATCTTGCGGTGCTGGACGCCGTTTGGACCCAAGCTGTAGAGCCGCAAGGAATTTAACAAGGACAACAGAGGCTATGAGAATTGTGAAGGCAAGCAGAATCCAGTTATTGACGGTACACCGGGGGCTATCGCGGAAGTCCACTTTCCCTTTGTTGAACACATAGTCGAGACATATCTGAGACTTTTTGAAGTCTTCAGTATTTCCCCATTTGTCGGTCACGTCAGTGCCTGGATAATTCTTGAAAAGGTCTGTGACACTTGTTGGTAGGAAGTTGTAGGTGTCTTGGTTATTCATCCTATCCAATGTGTAAAAGTAATCCGTCAAGTCATAGATGTTTTGGTTCACAATGACCCAGTATCGCTGGCTATTGTCGGCCTGTTGCGCAACGGTTCCTCTTGTCCAGACAAGATCTCCCTTGAAGTATTCACGGATCTTTGGGAGGAAAGTATCCTCATACCAGGTGATCTCGTGCAGCTTGGTGGTTGAGGGCCAATTTAGGGGACCACAATTGTGATTCGCATAGGAATACATGTCAGCAGTCGTGTCGTTATAGGAGAGCTTGATTGACTGGTCTGTCACCATTGGCGAACAGAATCGAGTCAATGGGGGAGGAAAGTAGGCATCCAGATTCTGGCCTCGGAAGGGCTCCATGGTCGACGCAGTCACGTCGATATTATTGTCACTGTGCTGGAGCCTCCAGAATTTGCTGATATCGTACACTTTACCGTGGATGCTGACATAGAAATCGTTGTCACCCTGGTGATATCCAACTTCCTTGGAGTTCCAGACTTTATCCTTGTTCGGGCAGAGCAAGTCACCAAACGCCATGATATAGAAACACACAATGGCATTGAAGAGAAGGATGAGGAAGACGAGAACCAGTTTCTCCCTCCAGGCCATCCGCACATCAGGACGTTTCATGCGGCCAATGTAGCGAAGGACAAAGGATGGGATCCAGAAGGTCATGGCCCAGACAACCCCTGCCCAAACGCGCCGACCGAAAGTGATTTCCTTCTTCTCGATATGCTTGGGACTGCCAAACTCGGGATCAAGTCCGCCAGTGTATCGGCCGTCGTCGCCGTCGTAAAGTTGGTTCTCCCACTTTTTGCTGTCACCCTTGGTACCGAGGCCATAGTCACCAGCCATGTTCAAGGTGTTCGGCATACTAGGAGCGATGGAGTTCGCTAACCCTGCGACACTGGGTGCCAGCATGCTTTGTCTCTGGAGGAGGTTGTCCCGACTGCCCAAGAGGCTGGCGGACTCCGCCACGGGATTCGGAGCGTACTGTGCCACGCCAGTGTCAAGCATGCCACCGCCGTACATGTACGAGTTTGCCCCGGGTGTTTCATCCGGCTTGAGATCGAGCATTGTCTCCGCTTCCCACCATGCGTTCTCTCGCATCCAGATTCGTTGATGGCCGACAAAGGCGTCGCCATTGGTCCAACCTCTTTCCATCAACCAGCTCTCCACACCGTCCCTTCCTTCTCTACAGCCCAATCGCGAATAGCGGCTGACAAACTCCTCCACGTCAAAGTCGGCCGTAAAATCCATCTGCTTGAGACGCCGATTAGCCCATTCGGCAAGTCTCCACTCGCGTATTTGGCGAGAAACGGCACCTGCAGACCAGGCGGCAGTGGGCGAGGCAGCGCTCAAGGAGTCAGGGGTATCATCGGTTGGATGGATCGAGATGTGGTGCCAGACTCGACTGCTGCCCAGCGTCGTCATGAGGTCAAACCGCCCTCTCTTGCCGACAGTAATCCCTTCAGCTTCCACGGGAAACAGTAACTGCCGGAGAAACGAGTCCATATCAACCTCTAACCCAACCTTTTCCAGGACTTCCTGTCTCTTGTCGAGCTCATATTCCCGTTCACGCCAGGCAGGACCAGTGGTAATTCCCAAATCTGGCTCGACCTGCGCTACGGAATTATTCAAATCATTGAGTACAGAGTGTCCGACGGGGGGAATCTGGACGCCATCCTCCTTCATCTCTGCATTGATACCAAGGGTATCGTCAAAGACTCCTCTCAGTGCCACAGCTTTACCAAAGGCAGGCCTAGGGATATCCACGACCGTGATACCCACGGTATCCTCATCTGACCACTGGCCGGCTGATCCGCTTCCAGAATCACCTTCCTGGTTTGCCCGGAGCTCATTCGCAATAGTTTCGTTGGCCTTCACAATGACCCAGTCGACAAGTGCCT